CATGGACCACACATGCCAGATAAAGAGCTGCAGGGTTTGGCGTTTGCCCCACTGGGTTTTGGTCTTGGCTTTGGTTCCAGTTTTCCTTGCTATGCTTCCATTTCTGCCTTTTGGAAGTGGACCGCTTACTCTGTGTCACAGTATGTTGGAAGTGTGTAACTTGTTTCTTAATGTTATAGGGACTGGCAGTCAAGATTGCCAAAGTCTCAGAAGAGACCGTCACTGACACTCTGAACAGTGAGCGTCAAGACTACTGAAGACCATGGAAACTCTGAAGTTGAACTGAATGTTTTTGGCACTATGAGAGGGCCAGGAGCCTATGGGGACAAGGGGTAAAGATTATACCTTTCAAGTGATATGTTTGGAGGCCAGCAAGGTGGCTCAGCAGGTAAAAGTGCTTGCTACCAAGTCTGACAACCTGAGTTCAAATCTCCAGAAGCCACATGGTAGAAGGAAAAAACTGACTCCCTTCAGTTTCCTCTGATCTCCATATGTGCACTATGGTATGCATATGCACATGCATATGTGAATGCACACACATTGTTTTAAAAGATTTTATTTACGTGTGCATATGTCTGCGTTGTGCACAGGTGCTCATGAAGGCTAGAAGAAGGTGTTAGATTTACAGATGGTTGTAAGTCACCATGTGGGTGCTGGGACTCAAATCTGGATCCTCTGGAAGAGCCGCAAGCACTATTAACTGCTGGACAATTTCTCCAGGTCCCCCCCCCTCCAAAAAAGGAAAAACAGTATTGAGATAGGGAGGTCTCACTATGTAACCCAGAATGGCCTTGAACTCACAGATCTGTCTCCTGAGTGTTGGGATTGAAGGTATGCACCACCACGCCCTGCTCCAAAACATTTTTTTAAAGGTTTTTATTCTTAGTTATGTATGTGTGTGCCTGGTGGGTCTCCCCACTTTACCTAATCTAGAAACTCTTACATGCCCACCAGTTGTGAGCTGTCTGATGTGAATGCTGGGAATTGAACTCAGGTCCTGTGAAAGACCATTAAGAACTCTTAACTGCTGAGCCATCTCTCTAGCACCCCCAAAACATTTTTTAAATGATGTTTGGGTGTCAAGTTGACAAGGGGTGGACTTGTGATAGTTAATATTGTCAACTTGACAGGATCTAGAATTATTTAGGAAACAAATCTCTGGGCACGTAAGAGTTTCTAGATGAGGTGAAGTGCGGAGACCCACCCTAAGTGTGGGTGTCATCATTCCATGGACTGGGGTCTTGTACTGAGTAACAAGAATATGAGCTGATGCCGGCATTCATCTCCCTCAGCTTCCTAACTGGATGTGCTGTGACTGACTCCCATGGCCTTGCCTTCTTCCCCACGATGGACGATATTCCTGGAACTGTAAACCCTTCCTTTAGATATACATGGTGTATGTACATATTTTTTCCAGGAAATACAAAAGCTAAGAAGTCACCTCTGTGTGTCACACTTGGCTCAGCTGTAGACAGCATGAGCATGGCATGAACCATAAATGTAACTTGATCAGTTATACATGCTGCTAATCAGACATGCCTGGGGTCTGCCTTCTAGCCCACAGGAAGCCTGCAGGTCTGGTTCCCTTGGGTTGAACTCCCCTGGCATGGCTCACCTTTTGGCTACCATTCGTGTTTGAGATGTGGCTGTGTCTCCGCCTGGCCATGCTGCACACGGCCCTCCTACCACCCTGTAAGGGACGTTACTTGAGTAGAAACATGCAGCTCTGTTGGCTTGGAAGCTGTTACCCCAGCCTGCCTTGACTAATCCACAGCAACTGAGCCACACTGGGCAGGATTGGCTGAGGTGCTGCTTGTCCATCCTGATTCTTGGTGTCCTTTTAGTCTCGGTTGGCATGTGGCTGCCTGCTGTGAACCTTTGCAGCCAGGTGTGGCCATAGGAGAGCTGAGGTGTGGGCAGACCATGTGGGCAGCTTTTGGATAATGACCTCTAAATCACATGTGTGCTCCTCCTGCCCTGCTTTCCTCTTGGGGGACAGCACGTGAGGATGGTGAGCCTTCTTCCATATTGGAGACACAGGCCATCCTGGAGAACATGGAAGAAGCTGGGTCTAGAACACTCTGGAGCAAAGTCCTCCGACTTCCTGAATGCCCAACAGTGCACACTTTGTTTTCTGAGACAAGGCCTCACAATGTAGCACTAGCTGGCCTGCAACTCACTATATAGACAGGGATGGCCTCAAAGTCACAGAGATCCACCTGTCTTTGCCTCCCAAATACTGAGATTAAAGGCATGCATCACCATACCTGGCTTTTCCTTTTCTTTTGTAAAGTATTTTAGTGGCCTGAGAGAGGGCTCAATGGGTAAAGGAGCCTGCTGCAGAGCCTGATGACTTGAGTTCAAATCCCTGGAACTCACATGGAGGAAGAGAACTGACTCCCACAAGCTGTCCTATGTCCTCCACATGTGTGCCACTGCATGCACACACACGTATGTACCCAACCATGCATGCACACACAATTTTTTAAAATTTTATTATTAGGATGGACATTGTGGTACACGCCTTTAATCCCAGCACTTGGTAGGCAGAGGTGGGCAGATCTCTGTGGGATCAAGACCAACCCAATCTACACAGAGAGTTCTAGGCGTATGCATGCCACAGCATGTGTGTGGCAGTAACAGAACAACTGTTGCAAAAGTTCTGGGGATCAAACTCAGGGTTTGAAGCATCAGGCAGCAGGCGCTTTGCCCGCCGAGCCATCTTGCCTACCCACATACTTTTTCTGGAGAACTGAGGTCTGTCTGCTCCACAGCTGTTCTCCCTTGGCTCTCTCACCAGTCCTATTGAGTGGGGAAAAGGGAAGCGTGTCCCTGAATGGTCATGGTGGCCACGGCGCTGGTGCAGATGCTGCTCGTCTTCTGTAAGTCAGTATGCTGCCTCCAAGTGAAAATGGAGGAGCAAGAGTAGAAGCTTGTTCGGTGACGTAGACGGAAATGCCCAGAGATGGCTGGGGCAGGAAGGTAGCCCAAGACCCAGCACAGGGCACCAGAGGGCTGCTTTCTTTACACTGTATACATTTATGATTTTCTTAAAACCCAAAGCCTAGAGCTGGAGAGATGGCTCAGCAGTTAAGAACACTGGTTGTTCTTGCAGAAGACCTGGGTTTGAATCCCAGCACCCATGTGGCAGCTAACAACTGTCCATATCTCCAATTCCAGGGGAATCTGAAGCCCTCTTCTGACCTCTGAGGCATTACATGACACGGTACACTCACATACATGCATGCAATACACTCATACACATAAAAATAATAAAATATTTTTAAAAAGCCAGGCATGGTGGCGCACGCCTTTAATCCCAGCACTCAGGAGGCAGAGACAGGTGGATCTTTGTGAGTTCAAGGCCAGCCTGGTCTACATAGTGAGTTCCAGGACAGCTGGGGCTACCGGGAGACCCTGTCTCAAAAAGACCAAAAAATAAAATTAAAAAAAAAAAACCCAGAGCCTAGGTATGGTGGCGCACACCCATAATCCCTGCACTCGGGAAGCTGAGGCAGGAGGATCTCAAGTTGAGGCCAGGTCAGCCTTGGCTACATAGCAAGACTCAGCCTTATAAAAAAAAAAAAAACCCTCACTGAGCCAGGCATGGTGGCGCATGCCTTTAATCCCAGCACTTGGGAGGCAGAGGAAGGAGGATATCTGTGAGTTCAAGGTCAGCCTGGTCTACAAAGTGAGTTCCAGGCCAGCTG